GACCACGTGCCAGGGGCGAAAAATGGCCGCGGACCATGTGTCAGGGGCGGAAAAATGGCCGCGGACCACGTGCCAGGGGCGAAAAATGGCCGCGGACCATGTGTCAGGGGCGGAAAAATGGCCGCGGACCACGTGTCAGGGGTGGAAAATGGCCACAGACCACGTGTCAGGTGGAAAAATGGCCACGGACCGTGTCACGGGAGGGAAAATGGCTGCGTATCCTGCTCGTACCCCAAGACGGAGTTTGCAAACCGAGGTAAATTTTTGCGGCCGGAGCTGATCGTAACCCGAAAAGTTCGTTAACAGAGGTGTTCGTAACCCGAGGTACCACTGTATATAGGTGAAAATTGGAGGAACTTTGTGAGACAACATAATAATTTTATTCTACTTCTGAGAAATTCTGCAGCACATTAACCGTAGAAGTTGACATGACAAGGATAGCTCCAGAAACGTACAGCATAGCAAATACCACCTTTGGCTTCTGTTATTCTTGCCAGTATCCCTCTACTGTCTAGCAATACCCCACATGTTGGGGCCTCTTTCAGACATGATAGGCTGATATGTTTGTTAAAGAAAATATTCAGTTGGAGGTGTGGTTCTCAGAAATATACAGTTTAGTTTTGTGGTTTTGCCATAATTGAGTTTTGTAACTATTTGTAGTTTATCCCTATGTGGACCTATGGCTGCCTATGTGAATCCTCACGGCTATGTGCATGAGACCCTTACTGTCTACAAGGCCTGCAATCTGAATCTAAATGGCAGATCTTCCACAGAACACAGCTGGTTTCCTGGGTAACTATAAATTGCTTTGTTTACCTTCAGTGTGCCGTTTTGTTTTATTTCTCCATTATTGAAGCAGAATCTGCCTTGCATATGCCCTTCCTTTAAAGCAGTGTTGTCCAAACTTGGCCACTTTAACATGAGTGGACTTCAACTCCCAGAATTCCCCAGCCCCACTCATCTTTTTTTTTTTAATAAATTTTTTATTCTTAAAAAACAATCTTATAAAGCATCGAGCAGTGAGTCGAAATGGGTTACAAATACAAATGTGCATAATCATATTATCATATTACCAATATATCCAAATA